ATGGCTAACGCTCACAGCAGGAGAAATCAGATGTTTCCTCCTCTGCAACTTTCGCAGGCAACACTGGTCGTGGGTTCAAACCGGTAGCAATGTCCGTAGAGGCCATCCTTTCCGTTTTCGCGAAAAATAAAGCATTCAGTTGTTTTGCAGAGCACCCTGACGGCCAAATATTTTTTTGTATTTGGACTGAAGAGAGGCAGGTTTAAACCGGAGTTGGGTTATTCGTCACTTTATAGTCTTACAAAGGAGACTTCCTTTCGGAGGACGTCCCGCAGATGTTTAACGGAAATTTGATACGAACTGATGTAGGTGTTTTGCAGACAGAATAATGTCGATGTTCTTTCTTCTTTTGCTGAGAAATTTGCATATGCTCACTTCCCTTTGAGCCTTAGGGTTCACAATAAAAAAACCAGTTTTCAGGGTTGTTGCGTTCCTGGTTTAGACAATTTATTAGGAAAACAGCGAATGAGGAAACGTAGTGTTACTATCCATATATAAACACTGAACCATGACGGGGCACACATATATCCCTTTAAAAGACCCTTTATACGGATGTTCAGCTTTTCCAAAATGGCTTATTGCGTTAACCTTCCAATACGCTCAAGCGCCGGCTTTAAGAATATCGTTTTCCAGCAGAGAAATTCATTTAATATTATTTTGTCCGGATTGCCTTTGGATCCTATGACCGTGGCATGCACACAGTCTAATACACGAAACTTACTAATACGTTATTTATTTAGGTTAGCAGTTGTTTTGCCACGGACGTTGCACGTTCAATACTGTTTTTATGTGTCACTTCTATGCTGATTTTCCTTTACAAATAAACATGCACATTGTAAGGTTATATGCGTCCTCGCAGGCCATTATTATTTAAGTGCATTTTCCTCGGCGATGAGTATCGCTTTCGAAGTCGGACTACGCATACAACCTGAGCCTTCAAGGGCGGGAAAATACTTTTTCCAGGCTACACCAAAGTATGAAACATCTTCGGGAGTCATAATGTTCAGCCCCGACAACTAGAGCTCAAGAACTGACTGCCTTCGTGCGAATGACCAAGGACGCAAAGGACGACTCGGGAATAGAGACCTTCAAAATCGCCAGACATGATACACACCTTTTTTAGAATAGAGATAATTGCCACGGACCGAAATTGATATGCCGATAGTAAGGTTTATAATATATATTGCCTATCTCACTTTGGTTACTGGTCTCTTAACACGGAACTCCATGACCATTTTTATCCTGCGCATACGCTAATCAGAAAGTCCGCGGTCATCGTATCTCGAACGATACAAAAATGCGACTTTTCCTGAAAGTGTATTGGATTTTGCTTTCAGAATGCCTGATAAACATTAGGTGATCGAACTACTACTAGAGCACATCTGGCGTATGTTAGTGAAGGTAGGTTTTCAAAACCTGATCGTTATGTTTATTTTTGTCTGCGTATTTTGTTGTATCCGCCTTTGCTGTTTTTACCTATTTTCGGCGTTCCGGCCTTCTCAAAATACTGCTTTTTGGCAAGTGAATATTACTCTCAGTTTCTCTCTGTCTTTTATTTCTGCTTCATGGATTTTGAGGTGACTTACAAGTTATTTATCAGTTCAGCGATGATACCCATGTAGACATCTGCGAAGTCAAGTCCGGCAAACGTGCGCTTTCGATTATATCACTGCACAGGCCCGATGATGAATAATTGAAAGCGTACGTTTGCTGGACTTGACTTCCTATTTATCAGTACTAGCAAATTCGGTCCTAATTCATGACTTTGCCATCTGTCTATGACCTTCTGTCCAAACATGGTCTCTGTATAAGTACCTCGCAGCACTACGGATGACATACGCTTGTACTTAACTGCAAAATGTGTGTGTGCTGTGCTCCTGAAAAGGGGCACATCGTAGATGCGCTGGATACACGGTTAAGTCGGAGTCCACAAAGTATGAGAGCATCTGCTATGCCATAATCAACAAACCACGGCCCTCGCTGCCCCGTATGAGTTGTCAGTTCTCTGGCATCTACTCCCCAGTCAGTAGGTGCGCTTTTGTTCCCGCTGGGTATAGCAGGTCGTGGGCATGGCTGCCCAGTCATCCTCGTCCTTCTGGCCCGTTGTGGTGCCGTTGTTAGTTAAAATCCAGATCAAGTGTTTGTTGTGGACCAGGGGTGTGGTGACAGGTCTAGGTGTGGGTTCGGCCGTGCCAGCCACCTGCACCCTATCCCGCCTCCGGTATTCTTGGCTATGTCTTGACACCGGGCCCAGCTGGGGAGGAGAGAGCGCGGCAGATGCAGCGCAAGTCTATTTCCATTATAAACCAATTCACGCGTAAGCTATCGTCCCTGCTCTCATCTCGCTGCGGAGCACACGGTGGACATCGTCGGGTACGACGGTCAGACTGTCAAATCGGAGTCGGGCAGGCGCAACCGGGAATGCACACTCATAAAAAATGCCAAAATTCGATGTGGCGGCAGGTATAGTTGCAGGCTTACGCCGCGCCAATGGGGGACCGTACCGCCCCCTATTTCTCTTGGTGTATGAAATCCCGGTCAGTGTACAGTGTGTTATTTGACTTATGAGAGGTGTCGAAATTTACGAATGATCGCTGATCACACTCGAACTGACACCAATGTGTGGACCCGGTGTCTATGTTAATAAATAACAACTTTAGGAGATTTAAAGGTATGGAATAAATGTTTAGAAAAAGTAATTTTTTAGAAAAGCGGAAAATCACAAAAACGTCAAAAAATAGTTGCAATTATGTAGACTTCAGCTTTCGATGTACAGGAATCCTGTCCATGCAACGCACTGAGTAAATATGACAGCAAAAATAAATTAACCCTTGAAAATTATCTTTCAGAAAAGTTTGCTTTTAAATAGATTTTAAGAATTAGTGTAATTTCAGGTATGGCGGAATGCCAACGGCCTACCTTCAGGGTATATATTCCAAAACGGTATCCCAAGCATTCCTAGTACTCAATACGCATTTAAAATGACTGAAATGCCTTTCAATAAGGCAAAAAGGATTTTTCTTGTTGTAAAGAAGATGGACACACGATCTCTGGGTTTTGCCGATGGGAACGCCATAGGAACAAAAGTTTTCGCAAGGGCACATGTTGCCAGGCGCGTCAGTGACTAATAAATTTAGATAGAATTGACAGGAGTAATCGTAAATATGCTATTTTGTGTACATAACGAGACCTTTTCTTCTGCGAACTCAATTTGTACTTTTCCTCTTTTCTGGATTACGTTGAGTTTCAGATCAGCTTTGAAATCTCGCCGAATACTTCATGATTTTCATAGTCTCCAATGGATTGCCCATAAGGACACATTCTATTATGTGGTTGGTAGATGACCTTGCGCTTCCGATGGGTATACAGGTGGTGCGCATGTTTGCCCAGTTATCCTCGTCTTTCTGATCGGGTGTTGTCCTTTTGTTAGTTGAAGTCCTGATCAGGTGTTTGCTATGGACCAGGCGTGTTCCTAAGCGAGCCACGAGCGGATTCTGGTGGGACTTATCGGGAATGTTCACCCACAGCAGTTGCCAACTTTAGAAGTGCGGTGGCAGGCCGAGCTGCGGACTCGCGCCGCGCCAACGAGGATCCCTCCCGCCCCCACTGTCATTGTTAATGTTGAAAATCCCGGTCAAGTGTTTGTTGTGTTCCAGGGGGTTTGCTGATACGCGTAACTGCGGGTTTTCGTCATTTCGGCCACCTGTACCCTCTCCCACCCCCTGGTTTTATTAATTCCATCTTAACACCGTATCCAGGTGGAGGAGGAGGACAGAGTGCGGAAGGTACCGTGCAAGTCTACTATTACTTTATACCAACTCGCACCCATGTCACCGTCTCTGCTCTCACCCTGTTATGGAGTACACAGCGGACATCGTCGGCAACATCGGTAGAGCTGTCAGGTGTGCCTGAAACCCCCTATTTACGGACTTACATACATTCCTGCCAAAATCGCCGGTATCTATTTCTTTGTTAGGAATGCAACGGCCTGAATCTCCGGGGATGGTCTTCACCGACTTACAGGAAAAAATGCACCCAGCCATTTCAAACCGAAGAATCGCCCCGTATGAGGCTTGAATAAAGCTGACTGATGACGACGGAAAATAAGTCAGGAGTGGTCGTCCTAAAACCCTTATTTTTTAGTTACTAGTAGTCCTCGGCAGGTAATTTGCATTTTCAGAGAGGGTACGTCGATACGCTTCCAGTTAGGACGTAAAGATTGAGTGATTTACCATACAGATTGCATAGATACTAGCCAAAAGCCCAAGCACACGTATTTCCACCATCTTGTGCGGCTGCATGAAGTTTCTGCGAGAACTCGGCTCGTCAGTAGGTTCCACTGCGTTTCCCGTGTGCTCTCAGATGTATGGATCCCAGTCTCCATGGTGTTCTCATTAATATTTTTGACAGTTTATACGCGAACTTGGAGTAAATCCCTCAAGAAAAGTTTTTTTTCGGCCCACTCCGAAAGCTGATATGAATAATTAATCTGAATGAATGCAAACGGATATATGACCCCTGTGGTGTCATAATAATCGGACTATCCTATTCTGAAGAGGCCGAAGCTGATTGAAGATGTGGGCACATGTTACAAAGTGGAAGTACACATTGCAACTTCACAAAATCAAAAAGAAGAGGGCTGTATCAAGTTAAACAGGAGAAAAATATACAGGTGAAAATGCAGTTATCGTCTTATGATGCTTCCCAGCCTCGAGTTGGGGGACATAAAGTTTCCAATGTCACGTGGAAAAAAGTTTGGTAAGTCACTGCAAATACGTGCACTGGCATTGCACACGGATGTCGGGGTCACCGATAAACAAGTAAACCCTATTTGCCACTCGGCACTGCGATTTATACGCAGGAAGCAGACGTCTCCTAAAATGACGCAGAACTCGGCAGTCTGAAGTGATTCCGTTATGGTGGGACGGACGCTCAGATGATGTCCATTAATGATGCCCGAAGAGAAAGGAGACGGTGTTTCTAGTTTGTGAGAAAAAAGTCTAAAATAAGGAGCCTGGGTTCATGCGACCATTGAACATGACATCGACGGGGACAGGATTGGTAAACATCGGCTCTCCACTACTTGGCTTACTCATGCAACTACTACCACTACTATTATTAGGTATGCCTGCAGTGATGGTGGTATTACTATTACTCGTTGGGGCAGAGGAACTATTGTACTGGAAGTTTGGAATTGCTCCTATTGGTCCTGGGAAGTTCGGCACCTGCAAAATATCGGAGAATGTCGGGGGAAAGGCGGCCTCGGAGGAGACGTAGGAAGGTTTCGGGAAGCTGTCACTTCCCCGCATCCTTAATTGTAGATCACAGTCATTGGCGCCATCTGGTTTCTTTCCATTGCCAGCCCGAGATGGACTGGTGGCTGTCGGACAAGCGTAGCTGCTCACCAGGCTGAGGCTACCAATTCCGCTGCTAGATCCGTGAGTGAATTTTGTGAGGGCCGTTGAACCTTGACTGTTACTCGGTGTGAGACCCCCTGGAGGTAGGTGTCCTACAGACTGGGTCAGTGGTCTGACAGAGGCATCGACGAGGGGAGTCTGAGTATAGTACATCTGCTGGTTGGGCTCAATATCGAAACTCTTAGCTCCAAAAACGTCGAAGCACTCTCTGGTCGGCCTGGCGGTGTATATATTGGTGCCGGAAGTCGTAACAGCGGGCACGGACGGAGCATGGATATTGGACTGTTGGCCCCCACTAGAAGGAAGATTGAAGCTCTGTGGCTGAATTCTACCGGAGCTGGAATGCGTCACTTTGTTGATGGAGTACTGCGAAGGTGATTGAACAGTCTGTGGACCAGGAGTTACATGATTCTGACACGGCGCGGGAAGGAAGGACTTGCCTGTAGGCCGGTAGCGGGAACTGTTTTGCGCGTAGGCGGCTGTGTCTCTGGCGTAGAAACTTAGACAAACTCGACGCCACGACGCCAATGTCTTGCCAGACCAGATCCAAAAGCCAGAGGTAATACCAACAATAAGGGACATGAAATACTTCAGCATGAAGATGGCGTACTCAGGTGCCGGCGGTTGCCAAGGGGGCAATTCTTTGACCAACTGATCACCTGGAATGTCTGCGGATTGCTTAAACTGACAACTACACGCGACGCCAAGCTGCCAGAGCGACCGTTGTTGCAGTTCGTAGGAGAGGCATGCAATCACTACGACCGCCGGCACCGTATAGAGTAGACCAAAAATTCCGAGTTTGATCATTAACTTTTCCAGCCTGTCAGTGCGGACACCGATGGGTATTTGGAATTTGATTACACTTCGGATTCGGCAAAGTGCGACGAAGCCGGCGAAAAGGAAGAAGGTCCCAATTATGGTGTAGATGACGAGGGGAAGCAGGACATGGAAGGTGAGGTTTGCGTCGTTCGTGGCGCCCACGGAGCAAAGGCCCGCAACGGGATCGCCGTCCACCGCTCTAACCATTAGCACGATCCCTGTCTGGACAGCCGGAAGGACCCAGGAGATGAAGTGAAATATCTGCGGGGAAACAGGAAACTCAGTCGTGACGGTTGAGATCTAGATTCCATTGCAGGTGAATAGCGCGAAAAAAATATTTTCCATTACATAATTAATATATGAAAAGTGACAGGTGAGGTTGAGTTTACAGCCGTTTCGTTCTTATTCTGCCTTCTTCGGCCAACCCTTGGCATTACCAATACCTGGAACTAAGCACGCAAGCTTACGGGTATACACAAAACATAAAAGCCCCACGAAGAATACCAAATCGACTGATCAGCAACATCGTAAATCCGAGATCCTATTACTGTTGCTCCGGTCTACCCTGAAAATAATTGGGTAATAGGAAACCAATCGTGGAACCTACGTCTTATGCTGCAGGTGCCTTATCAGTTCGATCGCGTTTACTGGAACTTCACACTGAGTGCACATGCGCAGAATGCCATGTATGATCGGAGGGGAATCTTGGTAGTATTGACGGTTGTACTGACATCGAATAAGTCTGAAGATGCCGCTGCCTCATCCTCTCCCTCCCCCACTTAATTAAGATACTAACAATAGTAATAATTGGGCTTCATTGAGGCCTGGTAGATGCGTTAAAAGTTGTGGCCTGGAAGGCTGCCAACAGACCGGGTGACTCGATCCTCGTATTCAGTAATGTGTGTATGGGAGGCGACTGATTCGGGAACTGAGAATCCAGCTCAATGTCTGCTTCTTAGTGTGATCTTTATTACACTTCTACGTGCGCGAAAAAGAGGTCGCCTCTTTTTGCT